GTTTGAGCTGTGCAGGACCCAGCACCTCGCCCACCCCCCCCGCACTCCTCTCCTCCGGGCCCTGCTGGATCTGGTTGCACACCCCTCCCTCTCACAAGAGACCTGGCATCCATCTCTCTCTGTGCTGGTATCCTGACTAAGGATGTTAAGGACTAGTTGACAATCTGATAAGCAAATGTTTATTGGATAGTTAGTCAACTAGTCGATCCCTCTCTCCCTCCCCCATTGCTGCCTCTTTCAGATAGAGGCAGCAAAGGGGGAGGAAAGGGGTACTTCAAAACCACAGTGCCTCAAAGCTGAGCCAGGGGTCAGCTGTGTGGTTGCTACCTCCTTTGAAATCCCAGGGCAGCCGCACTGCTGATCCCCAGCTCTGTTTCAAAGGGGCAGTGCTGTAGAGCCTGGGCTCTGCGCGGCATTTCTCCAGTATCTGGGGTCAGCTGGGACTCGGGCTCATAGCCCAGGATCAGCTGTGTAGCGTTTCCCCTTCAAAATGCCACCTCAGCATTTCAAAGGGGCAGTGTGGTGGAGCCGGGGTCAGTTGAGGACTCCCCAACTGACCCTGGGCTCCGTGTGGCATTTCCATGGAACCTGGGATCAGCTGGGGAGTTCCCCGCTGGCCCAGGGTTCTGGGGAAATGCTGCGCAGAGCCCAGGCTCCACGCGGCATGCAGCACAGCATGGAGCCCAGGGTCAGCGGGGGAATCTGAGTCCCCCGCTGATCCTGGGCATCATGAGGGCGCTGTGGCTTTGAATGGCAGAGGCTCTTGTACATTTCAAAGGAGGAATGCAGAAGTGCCTATTGACTACTGGACTAGTCAATTAACTTCAATTTAACATCCTTAATCCTGACTCAGTACAGCTCAGTGTAGCACCATTCAAAAATCACATTGTTACCTCTAGCTGTGCTGTAATATGTTTCCTTTATGGACAGGCCCCTAGGGACAGAACTTGTCGATTGTTCTCTGTAGCTCGGGGACCAAGCTCTGCACTTCAGAGTCTGTAATGTTATGAAAAATAAGATTATAAAGCAAACTTAAGGGGGAGAAATTGAAATCTCAAGATTTAATTCTTGTAAAGTATGCTGAGATTATAAAGTTAATATTTGTATTTCATTACAGAACGTGTGGCTCCTGCTGTGCTACTTCCAAGGTGTGCTGCACAGACTGAGCCCTCTTTGGGCCTATGCAGAGCATGCTACTTAAGTTCCTAGAAGTAGAAATCAATTAGAAAATGCAGTAATGAAACTGCTGGTCCCTTTTTAATAAGGAAATGCATGAATATAAAAATATCTAAGAAATATAACACCAAAAGCAAGGACACGCTGGACTGAGGAGTTTGATTCTATCCTCATATGAGGTTTCTGAAAGCAAAATCATAAATCATTTCATCCTTCAGGACATTTGTCTTCTGTTTAACGTAAGGAATGATAGAATGGCAAGAGGAAAAATGTAAAAACCAACAAATGGTCAGGTAGCACTTTATGGACTAACAAAACATGTAGATGGTATCATGAGCTTTTGTGGGCACAGCCCACTTTTTCAGATGCCACGAAAGCTCATAATACCATCCACATGTTTTGTAAGTCTATAAAGTGCTACCAGACCTTTTGTTGTTTTGACATTTATCCTGCACAGACTAACTGGGCTACCCCCTGAAGCAAGAGGAAAAATGTAAGAGATTTAATTATTGAAGATTTGATGGTTATAATTGGATCTTTGTCTAACAAGTTTAAAATGTATTAATGGCTTAAGACTTTTAAAAGATGTATTTGTATCATTATTTCGTTTTCATCTATTTCTTTTTCCTTTAGTGGTCAAACAAGGCCTTTAGAGAAGAATAAATTTACACAGAAGGCATTAGATCTGGCATTGCGATACTTCTTGCCTCCTTACAGTTTTCAGATTCGTGTTGGTGCTTTGTATCTTCTGTATGGATTATATAGCACACAACTCTGTAAGCCAAAACAAAAGGTAAGTCGGATTCCTTCTCAAATCAGACTTTTGTGATTGTGGTAAGGTTTCTTGTATATTTTACCACAACTTGAAGAGGGTTCTTTTTTTAAGGAATAGAAACATGAGTATTCTGGAAGAAATGGTTCCTCAAAGAAAACTAGTCTTTTTGAACATCATTAAAGTCTGAGAGCCTAAATACTGATTAAATTAACTGAAGCCACAGTATTTTGCAGAACTTAAAATATAACTTGCCTGACTTAAGAAACCCTCCCTTGTTTAAAAAGTAATACAGTAATGTTTCTATGTTTCCAAATGTAAGGTGAGAGTAAGTTGATCAACAGACTCTCTCTAGTGCTGCAGAGAACTCTAGTGTGGCTGATGGTGCTGAAGTTTTTCCAGTGAAAACTGGCCAAAGTCTCATCAATTTTCATTTGTTACCTTTCTGAATCACATGTACAGCAGAGAAAAATATATGCATCAGAAGCAACAAAGGGGTGTGCGAGCAGGAGCTGGTGCTCATTAGCCAGCTCCCCACAAGCACTGAATCTGCCTGCCCCTTCCACTTCCACACTGGAAGGTGAGGGGGGCAGGCTGGACCCAATATGTGCAGGGAGCCAGCTTTCAAGCCAGCTTCATGTGTGCATTTGCTCCCGCAGACCTGCCTCCCGTTCCCCCCATTGCTGCCACCCACAAAGACAGTGGGGGGAGTGGGGGTGGATGGAAGGCAGGAGTCCGGGGACCTAGTTTTTAAATTGGCTTCCCTCATGGACTGGCTCCACCTGCCACCCTGTGCTGCTGCTTCTGATAAAGTGTGGGTTGGTAGGGGCCTCCCCGGAAGTGGGGCTAGGAGCATCTTTAATATTAGGGGGGCATTTTTAATATTAGTCATTTGTAGTAGGTTTATTCCCTGACATTTAAGTGTCAGTAAAATTTCCAACTGCTGTGTTGTAGGGAAGTTTGCATTTAAGAAGTGTGGAAGTATCAGAAACATTTTTTCTTCTTCCAAAAATCTAAAGGTGCTGTTTGAAATGCAGTGTAAAGAAATGTATAATTAGATTACTTGTGAATAAAAATATTTGCCTATGTAAGTCTATGTAAGTTTTGGGCCCAAAGTTGCATTTTATTTGTTAAAATAAACTACTGTTACAGTGCATGGGTTTACCTTTAGACAAATCTTAATTGATCCGGCCCCGGGTCCTCCGCGGCTTTGCTCAGCGTCTCCCTGGTCTGCAGACCAGGGAGACGCTGAGCAAAGCCGCGGAGGACCCGGGGCCGGATCAATTAAGATTTGTCTAAAGGTAAACCCATGCACTGTAACAGTAGTTTATTTTAACAAATAAAATGCAACTTTGGGCCCAAAACTTACATAGACTTACATAGGCAAATATTTTTATTCACAAGTAATCTAATTATACATTTCTTTACACTGCATTTCAAACAGCACCTTTAGATTTTTGGAAGAAGAAACAAAATGTTTCTGATACTTCCACACTTCTTAAATGCAAACTTCCCTACAACACAGCAGTTGGAAATTTTACTGACACCTAAATGTCAGGGAATAAACCTACTACAAATGACTAATATTAAAAATGCCCCCCTAATATTAAAGATGCTCCTAGCCCCACTTCCGGGGAGGCCCCTACCAACCCACACTTTATCAGAAGCAGCAGCACAGGGTGGCAGGTGGAGCCAGTCCATGAGGGAAGCCAATTTAAAAACTAGGTCCCCGGACTCCTGCCTTCCATCCACCCCCACTCCCCCCACTGTCTTTGTGGGTGGCAGCAATGGGGGGAACGGGAGGCAGGTCTGCGGGAGCAAATGCACACATGAAGCTGGCTTGAAAGCTGGCTCCCTGCACATATTGGGTCCGCTGTTGAAACTGATCAGTTTCAGCAGCGGCTGAATCTGGATGCCAGTTCCGACTTACATACAGATTCAACTTAAGAACAAACCTACAGTCCCTATCTTGTACGTAACCCGGGGACTGCCTGTACATAGAGGGGGAAAGGGACATCAGAAAAAGATTGTTGCAGTGTGGATAAAACTAGTTTTATGGTGGAATTTTCAAAAAATATTGTGAATTTGACTCTGCATATTTGTAGCTAAAGCTAGTGTTGTAGCCGGCAAAGAATCTGAGACTTTTGTTTTATTGAGAGAAGTATTGCTCATCCTGGTTCAGAGAGATGCCAACCCTCCCTAATTTTCTGTAATCCTCCCAGTTTTTACATTGTGATTATGAATTCACGTTTTAAATCTATGCTTTTGCATCAGACACTGCCACTCAGGTTCAATGAACACAGCAAATCGTGTCGTGGCTTTGTGGGGCATTCTTCACCACCCCTGTGGCATGTATGTAGATTGTGCAGAGAAGTTCTGATAGGAGGGAAGCCATGCACTTATGAATGTTGTTTGGCATGCCTGAGTCATTGCCCAAGCCACAGGTTTATGTTGCTGTCTGTCTGACCCATATGGATCTTGCGGTACTATGTTAAAACACAGTAGGTATCATTTTAGAATGCATCAGCAGTGTCCATGCAGGGCATTTTGCAACGAGCAGCCTGTGACTAGTGGGGTGTGGCTAGTGCGGGAGGAGCTAATGCCTCAATATCATTCCCAATTTCTTCATCGCCTCCTATTATTCCCTTACTGCTCAGCCAGTGGGGGAGGAAAAGGGGAACACAACAGAGGAGGGAGGGAGAAAGAAGAGGAGGATCATCCTGGGAATGAAGTCCAGCCCAAAGAATGGTCAAGGTAATTAAGAGCCCTAGGGTTGCATAAGAGGTCTGCTTTCCAGGGGCCAATCCTTCCCTTTGGGAAAGATAGCGTGGGTAGGGTCCCCTTTCTTCATAGTGAAAAGCCTGTGGAAAGTTGCCAGTTTCTTTTGGAGTCAAGATGAGAGGAGAGATTCTAGTTTCTCCAAGGGGAGATGTCTTGGCTATGCAAAGGCATAGATTCCTGTATATGTGTGCATAGGAAAATGTTGGGAGCAAGCATTTTTGCCATTATCCACTAGCCCTTAAGTTCACCAGCTGTCACTGTCCATCAAAATGGCTGATTTGAGTGATTAAAAAAGCCAAATATGCCCAAAATTGAAAATGGCTTCAGAAGTTCAAAATAGACCATACGAATGAATGAGTGATTAAGAAGTCACAAAAGGTTAAACATTTTGCATACTGTGACATCCATCACAATGGTGATTTATAACACACCTCAAGTTTTTAAGGCATGGTTACCCCATATCTCCTGTTTGTATCTGGCATTGTATCTTTGGTACTTGTCACTGGTCCAAATAATCTTTTTAATTCCTCTGTAACTTTTTTTTAAACATCCCTAAAAGTCAGAGTAGGGTTGGCATCTTTGTATTCATTGTCAAAACATATGGTTAAACCTAGAATACTGAGCATAACAATGTTGTATGGGATAAGTTATTACTATTAGAATCTGTTGTATCTTTTCTGTAGTTTTGAGATCACTTCAGTTATATACACACCCTATACAGATATGTCTTCAGTTTGCAGCATGCCATGTCTTTACTCCACTGGTCAGCTAAAATCTCTAATGCAGTTCCTTGAATGGTAATCAGTAAAATAGATTCCTTTTTTTTTTCTATTGCAGATCAGAATTGCTCTCAAGGAGTGGTTTGAAGTTCAGAAATTTCAACAGGATCTGATAACTGCCCAGCATTATGATGCAGCATATATATTTAGGAAGCTGCGACTAGACAAAGCATTTCACTTTACAGCAATGCCCAGACTAGTGAGTTGTTGCATGAGAACTTACTTTCTTTAAGGAAATCCCTGCCTATCTTTGAACTGTTGTTCAGTGTTTAGTTAGTGGTTTGAAATTACTTTTTTACACTATCCCAATGTGCACCTGGCATTTTATATAACTCATGACAGAGGCTGTTGGATTTAAAGTATTGTTTAGATGTAATCTGAATCCATAAATTCTGCTTTAAAAAACTAGCAATTTGAAAAAATATTGCTTTGGCAGTTTTATGATTATGGCTTTTAATTGGTAGAACTTTAACATTCATTTGGTCTGAGTTTGGGTGGTAGCTTGAACTTCTGATAACTGATCCAGTGAAGGAACATCTTTTTGTTTTAAGAAAGTGCTTTACAAAAAGCTGTTAAATCCTTGCTGTGAGAGTGAACACTTAAAAAATCTCTGCAGATGAAAATTGGTGTCATCTTGTTTTCTCTTTTCAGTATCTTTCATTTCTAATTGTCAGGGTGAGAATTTTCATAATTATAAACACCAACCTGTGTGTTCTACATCTTTTACTGTGTATTTTGAAATATGTCAATCTTTATATAGCTGTCCTTCAGAACTAAGAAAAAGATTCGGGAAACTGAACTTAAAGAGGAATTTAAGGAACTAAATAATCGAGTAAGCAGGCTCATCACTAATGATGTGTTAGAGGTACAGTAATTTTTATCCTACACAATAATTATAATTGTTAAATAGTGTTTCTCTAATTGCATAATCTGGTCCTCATAAAAGTTCTGTTACAGAAACAAGGACAACTATGCATTCCGATAGTTTTACCATTCATTTTCACAAAAGGACTATAATATTGAAAGTGTGCAAAGTGCTTCAGGGATATGTTAACTGTTCCCTGCTAATCCAAATAAGTAGTCCAGACAAGGGGTGATGGAAGTGCATGGTAAAAGACAGTATTTTATTTTAAATATTGATCTTTGTGTTTGCCCTGATTCAGCAACTGGCTGCATACAAGTGGGCATGTTGATTTACTCGCATACAATCAGCTGCAGTATTGGGCCTTCCTTCCGCCCCCGCCCTCCTACCTGTTTTTCCCCTTTTAAATATGTAGACATTTTACTGCTTGCCCTTCTGTTTGGTATAATGTTACCTATGCAAGCTCTTGCATTGGAAGCAGAATAGTTTTTTTATGACATTGTCTCATTATGCTGACCAGCCATCTGGTTCATGATGTCTCTTCCAGTTGGCTTTGGGGGTTACATATGTAGATGGGGAAGACCTGCTCCTTATGTCACTGAAATCATTAACTAACAATGAAATGTGGAACAACTTTTAAATGCCTCAAACAGTTGAAGATCGAAATCTATTTACTTAGTGCCACTGAAGTTTCTTACTAAAGTAATGTCTTCACTATGCAGGAAGGTTGAATTAAGATACGCAATTATATAGCTGGAGTTGACGTACCTTAATTAGAGTTTCCGTGCGGTCTCCACAGCGGGAGATGGCTTCCCTTACTCCTTGCAAGGATCAGGGGTACCAGTGCTGATGGGATCACCTTCTGAATTAGATTTAACGGGTCTTTACTAGACCCGCTAAATTGTACTCTGGAAGATTGATTGCGGTAGTGTTAATCTTCCGTGTAGTGAAGACGTCGAGTAAGTTTCTTAATGCAGAGTCTGTCTTTCTCAGTTTCTCCACTAAGCTGGTACAACTGTGACACTAGATATTAACACACTCATGAATTGCTGCTACTGACATTGATCAGCTAATTTTAACCATCTCCTTTTTAAAACAGTTGCTAGTTCAAGACACTGTAATAAAAAAAATGCACAATGTTCATATTTAATCAGGAACTTATATTCTTTGTTTTAACACTTATTTTTTAAAAGCTTTTAATATTTTTCATTTCAGGAAATGATGAATGTTCATGACCACTATCAGAAAATGAAGTGTTTGATCTCCACTGACAAATCCCAGCCAGACAAGGCTCTGAGTTTGATAAAAGATGAATTTGTAATTAATATTAAGAATATGATTTTGGAATATCAACACTGGCAGCAGGACAAAATGGTAAGTTATAGTCTTTATTGTGCTGTGGCAGTACAGATCATCATTAATGTGTTTAGTTGTCAGGAATCAGATTAATTTTTAAACAGATACAGTAATAGCTGTTAGTAGACTCTTCTGAATCACAATGCATATGTACCCCCTGACAATGGACCAATTTAGGGATGTAAAATCCTGTTTAATTGGTTAACCAGTTAATCGATTAAAGAGGGTGCAGGCAGCTGCTCCAGCCCAGCCTCCCCCATTTGCTGAGGCAGGGGTGGCGTGACCTCTTCTCCAGCCCAGCCCCGTCTACCATGGGCCCAGATGTGTCGCAGACAGGGGTTGCTTTGGTTGACCAGAACAGTCCCCTGCCTGCACAGTGCCTGGGCCTGCAACAGACAGAGGCTGCTCTGAATAATTGGAGCAGCCCATGCCTGCAGCAGGCCCCTCACAATGCTGGAACAGCCCATTGTCCTGGTAGGTGGGGGAGTTGCTGCAGCCTCCATTGGTTAATGTTTAATCAGAACTAGTAAGCATTACCCATTAACCTTTCATATCTCTAGAACAGCTCAGTCAGTGGGCTCACACTGCCCACTAGGCTAGACAAAGACAAGATGAACTTTAAACACAGGTACAAACAAGTTACACATCACTTTGACATATCAGGTTGCCACACTCTGATGTTATCTAGTTATCACATCACCTTGCACCTGGTGGTTTGATGAGAACATCTCTATCCCTCATGCTGTCATTTTAGATCTTGTCCTGAGCCGGGGTTGGCATGTCCCTGTTATTTGTGGGGAGTGTCTGGATACCAAGGTAATTCTTATGAGGTAGTGTTTAGAGATGTTAAGAGTGTAGCTGTTTAAATGGGTAATCAATAAGCTCATGCTCATTGGTGACATACACGACTCCCAGAGAGCTGCCTGCCACCCTTGCTGCTGCCTCTGTATCAGAGGCAGGCTGTTATATGGTTAATCAATTACATGCACTTTAACATCCATAGTGGTGTTACTGTCCTTCTGGAATATGCTTTCAACCTGTGCCCAGTACCAATTAGTGTTTTAAAGCTGGTGTTTAGTACCAATTATTTAATTTAAAGCTTTGTCATATAAGATTTGGAATGAGTGAAACATCAGATACATATTCAGTCTTTTCAATATACAGAAGTGATGAAGGATTCATGATGCATGAATACTTTACAGTACTTCATAGATTCCAACTCAGTGACTATACCAGAGAGGGGACAAACTATGGTCTGCGGGCCACATCAACCCTGTGGGACTCTTCTACTTCCCTCCCCACAGCCTCCGCTCACTGCACCACCAGCCCTTGTGCTCCAGGAAGCATAGTCAGGAGGAGCGGGGATTGGATGGGGGTGGAGATACGGGATGGTGGTGGTTGTTCAGGTGCGGGGTTAGTGATTTGGGGACATGCCTGGCTGTTTGGGGAGGCACAGCCTTCCCTGCTCAGCCCTTCATATAATTTCAGAACCCCAGTGTGGCTCTCAGGCCAAAAAAGTTTGCCCACCACTGTGCTGCACACACTTATTTTGATGTCACACAAGGACCACGATAATTAAAAATGAGACTGAGGTAGAAGGGAGGAGAGAATGTGATTCTTTTCCTAGAATAAATTGATCTTTTCCATTTTGTTGTAAAATAGAAACTGATACCTCTAGTGAAGTCCTCAATGAGTTTTAAATCTCTATACTTTTTCAGAAATTCTTTGCGAAGGGTAAAGAGAGTGAAGAAATGACTGACAAAAAGGAAGGCGGGACTTCTCAAGACTCAGAAGTAAGAGAAGTTTACTATGTAAAATCTTAATATTATTGGACAACCTAATCTACAGTTAGATCACATCAATTAGTGATCAAGTCAAGAAGCTAAGCAGTGGTCAGGTTAAATTTGGCCAGTACTAGCATGGGAGACCTTCAAATTCTAGAGTTCTAGAAGAAGTATTGTTTGGTGTGGGTTTTTTAGCTACTATATTCTTCTTTGGGAGATCCTGAACAATTGTCATTAAGAATGCCATGGCCATTTCCCACATAAGTAGGGGTTCTATGCCTACCATCTTGGCAAAATTCCTTTTTTGTTCTCCTATAGTTTCAACTAAATGCTGTATTAAATTTTTACAATAAACCGTCTTCAGACTACTGCTTTTTAAACTACTAGGTTGAACCCCAGCAAACGATACATTTCATAGAAAGATAACGAATGATTTGCATGTATGATTTATTGCACAGTAGAAATGTAGAGAAAACAATGTCATGGTTGCTTTACTATGGAAGTCTGAGTTTGTTTTACTGAAATAAGGACTCAATTATTTTGCCCATTTAGCACTCTACAAATGACACTGTTTGCAAGATGCTTCTCCTACAATGACTCTAAAGCATTTGTTTTTTTCATATATAAGACAAGGGTGTGGGAGAGGGGATTTGGAGTCTTTGACATGTGGTGAGCCGTAGTTAGTTTCCTTATCTATGACACAGGGATGATGATTTCCCAATTTAGCAAAGCACTTTGAGATCCAGGTAAAAAGCTCTGTAATTGTGAATAAAAATGAGGTTGGAAGAAAATTAGGGGGCTTTACCATTAGCTGGCTTTTTCTGACCTTTGCCTTATTTCTTTGCAGAGTTCTGAAAGAGCAAGTGCACTGGCTAAAATCAAATACAAATCCTATAGTGCAGTTGCTCAGGTAAGTATATAATTATATATATAAAGGAATTGTTGTTAACCCGTCTAAAAATGTACATTCACTGAAATTGTAATGTGGTCAGAAAAGCGATTTATCAACATGACACCTTCTGCTTCAAGCTCTACTCCCATTGGGCATTCAGTCTTACCTATCTCATTGGCAACAAAAACAAGCTTTTACTACTCCTATTAGTTTTGCAGAAGCAAGGCTGGTGTTGAGAGAATGAGCTAGATTGTACTCTGGCATGTGGGAGAACTGTTAGTAAAGTTTCTTATATTTGGGATTAATTGGCCTTCATTTAATCTACGCACCCCCTTGTTTTCAGGAGAGTTATGTGGATAACTAAGAGCAGAATTTTATACTTACATTTTCAGAAAGCTTTCCAAACTCAGGGTAAACTGTATGCTACCAGTTAAAAATAAAGCAAAAAAAATTCCCATACTTTTACCTGTTAAATGTAATGGGGTAAAATTTTAAAAAGTGATTGTAGAATTTAGGCTGCTCAGTGGTTCCAACTTTCAAAGGCCTGGGAGTTTTTAAAAGTTAATGGAATTTAAGATCTGAAGTCACTTTCTGAAAGTGGGAATTGGGATTTTAAATCACTCAAGCCAGGTCTATACTAGATCCCGAAGGTCAGTGTAAGGTATGCAACTCCAGCTATGTAAATAATGTAGTCTACATACCTTAAGCCAAGCTTGGCACTGTCTTCACAGTGGGAGGTTGATGGGAGCAAATACTCCCATCGATTTCCCTTACTCCTCGTGACTAAAGAGTACCACCATGGACTATGGGCACCCTTTGCTTTCGATTTAGAAGGTCTTGACTAAGCCTGCTAAATCAAATGCCCGAAGATTGATCTCTAGCATGGCAAGTGGAGATGTGGCTTTAAAACATGTTATTCTAGATCTGATAGTCATTGAAGCAATGAACATAAAATCCCCTGATCTCCATTGGATTATTTTTATAGTAGAGCCCCACACTCCTAATTTTGGGAATGTGGCTGCACATATCACTTATTAAAATCACAATATAGTGCTTTGAATATACAATAGTAACACTCTGAAGGTATATAGTGATGTTGTTTTCCCAGACTACTAAGGCTATGTCTACACTACAAGTTTTCTCAGCAAAAAATATGCTAATGAGGGACTCATTTGCATGTTTTCTGCAGATCTGTTTTTGTGCTAAGGGTTTTTGCGCAAAAACAAGCAGTGTGGTTGTTTTCTTTTTGCGCAAAACCCCTAGTCAGTCTTGGTGGTCTGTCTTTGTTACACAGGAAATGTTCTTAACATTTGCTACTCCTTGCTTAAAAATCTCTATACTATTATAAAAAGAGTGGTGTCCGTCATGCCATGTGTCACAGAACTTTTGAGAAGACTTGTGAAGTTTCTAGAAAATGCCAGAATGAATGAAAAGTGATGAGTGCAGCTGGGGTCCTTCCTGTTGGGCTGCCATTGGCAGGGCTTGGGGCAAGGCTCAGAGCCTCCCCAGTAAGTGGCTGGCCGGTGCGGCGGGGACCTGGCCGCGGTGTTACCATGCAGACCTGTGCCTGCTGGGGTGGGTGGCTTGCAGGCTGGGGGCCCATGCTGCTCTTGCAGCCCTGGGGTGGCCTGTCCAGCAGGTGGGGGCGACGGGGCAGCAGAGCGTGGAGGGGGGCAGTATCTTGTGGCCCATCAAACAGGTGCTGCCACAGCACAGTGACTTTTCCAAGGGTGACATCGAGCCCGGGGACAAAGAGAAGCGGCAAGCGGTGGGGCTGGCCCACTGTGCTCCACCCATTCCTCTCTTGGTCTGTAGAGCCAGTGTCCCTCAGGTCTTCTTGCATCCTGCCCTCCCCAATGCCTGCCCCCATGCCTGGCCCCCCGCTGCCTGAGGACCCACCCCATCTCTGCCACCCCTCCACCCACTGCACCACAGCCGTGAGGCAGGGTGTGGCTAGTAACTATATAAAAATCAAGGCTGATGTAGCAGTTTTTGGATTCCTGAAAATAAATCTTGTAATTTTTTCATTATTTGAATGTTGGATAAGGCTGTTTAAATGAAAGAAGGTTACTCTCTAGTTTGTCTGAAATGGTAATATTTTAGGATGTATGATTTTTTTTTTTTTCAAAAGCACCTAAAAGAGCTGAGTGCCCAGTCCTTAAGTAATATGGGCACTTACTGTTGTTTCTGTCTTATCTCTTAAGCCAAGGGTTCTCAACCTTTTTCCTTCTGAGCATTGCCCCGTGCTATAAAATTACATTGTCCACCTGTGTTTCAAATGTTTTTCAGTAGATTAAAAGCCAAGGCTGGCTTGACTTTAGGAAGTGGTAAACAGAGCAGCTACCCCATGCTAAAGGGGGCTTTGCAAAGCTAAGTTGCTCAGGTTTTTGTTTCAGCCTAGAGAAGGGGACTCAGACTTTGGCTTCTGCCCCCCCGCAGCACTGCTTGGGATTCAGCTTCCTTCCCTAGGCCCATTGAACCTAATGCTGGATCTGTTCTCTGGTTTATTTTGATTGACCTGAAATCTAATGGCAGCACCCCAGGGTAGTCTGCTGGTTGAGAATCGCTGTGTTAAGCAGATTGGGATCACTGGCATAGTGGTGGTGACAGAGAAGTCTTAACACATCTTACACTCAACAAGTCACTGAATCTTGGCATGTATCACCATGGTGTGTTGTGGTAACTAGGTTCCTTTCTGTTGCTAATGGATTTGTTTGGATTTTAGGCCTCCAAATCAAGAAGGCACCGTCAAGTTAAACTAGAGTCTTCTGAATCTGGGTCTGATCAGGGAAAAATGGAAACTCCCAGATGTAAAAGACCTAGAGTGAAATCACAATTGACACGAAAGAGAAACTTACTGGAAATCAAAGGTAATTCTTCATTATATTAATGGTACTGGAGATGTTAAGGAACTCTTCTCTCCCTCTGAGGAGTAGCCATGTTAGTTTGTATCTGCAAAAACAGTTAGGAGTTCTGTTGTACCTAGAGGCTAGCAGATTTATTAAGGCATAAGCTTTTGTGGGTAAAATCCACTTCATCAGATGAATTGGAATGGAAATGACAGAATTTAATTGTTAATTTTCACTCAGATTCATCTGATGAAGTGGGTTTTACCCATGAAATCTAATGCCCTAATAAATCTGTTTGTCTCTACGGTACTACATGTCGAAGCAAAAGCACGCTCCTCTCTGTTTAGGCGGCTAACAACTGATTTGCTTTATTGATTAGTAAAGCAAAGTGAGCCAAACGTGGTCCCAGCAAAGTTGGGCCCAGTAAAGCTGCTAATACAATCAATTCTAGTATCTTTATACCCTTAGCCAAACAGTCTGACGTCAGGGCATCCAATTACAGAAATCCTCAATTAAATTTGGAAAAACAAAGCCTTATCAACAAGATGGCGGACAGGTACGAGGGAGTACATCTCCTGTCCCAACCAGCCCAATTAACACATACCAATAGCCCATCCTGTAGGCCTCTTCTCATGGGGTGACAGAAAGTTCACTCTGGTCTACGTGCTTGAGAGAAAAGCTGAAATGGTTTCTGATATACAAGATGGCTTCTAGCTAAACATAAAATAGCTTCTACATACAGAACTTCTTATTGTTCTCTCCCTCTGTTACTCAAGGCAGCGAGTTGTAATTCTTATCAGCAGATGGAGACAGTAAATGGAGCCAAGCATTTGGGATGTCACTTCCATTTATAAATGCACCTGACTTGGCTGATCTTGGTCAGTTGTCCTTTCTCCCTCAGCAGGTAGAAAGAGCTGTAGCTAAGCCAACTCTCTCAGCTCTTAGTAATTCTCCCCTCAAACAGTTCTTTACTGCCAGTAATGTAGGGCAGAGTGCTTTTTATTTTTTATCTCCTCTCACCAGTGTGTTAGATGGCAAAAGCAGACTACTCAGTGTTCTCTCTGTTCTTCTGGGCAATGGTTGGCCTTTGTGACAATAGGAGCAATGTGTGAATTTTGATAGGTTCAAGAGGCCTAGCCCAAAATCCAGAGAAAATAACCTGATTATTTTTTTGTTCCAGTTGTGTTCTTGAATGAATATCCTCCATTTACAAATTCAGTATTTATCTGCTCTTTAAGTTTATTAATGAAGATACTTAAGAAGACAACTTAATACAGATGTCTCAAGTACCTCACCAGATGCTTCCTGCTTTTATCTGATACAGTGCCATTTATTATTGCCCCTTGTTAATAGTGCTCCAGTCAGTTTTCAGATCAGATGACCCTGGGCATCCAAAGCATTGCTTTTGAATAGGACTTTAACATTGCATCAGTTTTTTAAAACCCTGATATATTGCAGCTACCACACTGTTCATTTTATCATTGTTTAAAAAGTTTGTGTCTGAAAAAAATGTCTATGATCATCCAAATAGTTGCTTAAGTTTCTGTAATCACAGTTTCTGCTCAAACTAGTGTTTTAATAATTTTAATGTAGATTGCAGTTAAATTTTGCCAGGATCATTTTTAGTGCTATATTAAGGTTTTTTTTCCCCACCACTTTTTGGTAGTGTCCCATTTCTGACTTCTCAATGTCGCAGTATGGAAAAGTGATAGGGCAGTCTGGAAGAAAACAATTAAACTAGTCATGCATCTTATAATGTTCTAAATTTCCCGTATCAATTCAGGAAAGGCACTGGGCCTCAATGTACACTCCTCAGTGAAGACCTTTACGCAGTGTGCACCTATGGGCAAAAAAAACCAAATGAGCAAAAAACACTCAACCAAAAACAGGCAGGATGTTAAGTTGCATAAGGAGAATAATATGGAATATAGTAATCCACTATATATTTGAGAGAGTTTGTTCGGGTCTGTTCAAGAATGCCTCCTAAAGAAAAACTTGAAAAACAACGAATAGTCTTGCAGCACCTTAAAGGCTAACAAAACATAGATGGTATCATGAGCCTTTGTGGATACTCTTCTAATTGTACCCACGAAAGCTCATGATACCATCTACATGTTTTGTTAGTCTTGCTAGACTGTTCGTTGTTTTTCCAGTTACAGACTAACTTGGCTACCCCTCTGAAGCTTTCCTCATGAAGAGTAAGAGCTAGGATCACCAAATTCAGTATGCAGCTTCCTTTTATTGTAACACAAAACTTTTTGGCTGTGCCAGGAAAATAAGATGTGCCTGAAATGGGATGGCTTTTCATAAAGTCATACAGTAGAGACAAAATCACCAGGCTGGTGAAAGGGGTGCCCTCTTTCTCCCAATATGGGATTGCATCAGTCCTGAGCCTTCTAAGTTCCCTTTTGTGGGGGAGCCAGGGGAAAGTACACAATCTGCTGCATTCCTCACTCTGGCTGGGGGGTGCAGGAGGCAGGCGAACTTGGACCTGCCCCATCTGGGGGACATGTACCTCTTCCCCAGCTATGCCCGCTGGAGCTGTAGCAGTTGTGGAAAGGAGAGCGGCAACAATGGGGGGAGCAGGAGCCGGTGTTGAGGGGGAGCTGGCTTAAAAGCATCATCTCCACGGGGGGCAAGAGATACAGAGGCACAGCAGGGTGTGGCTCTTGCTGCGTTTCAAAGGCTGAAGCGCCACAGTGGGAACTGGTTTCTGTCCCCACTCTCACCCTTTCCCCAATGTGCTTCTGTCTCCCCTGCAACAGCAAAGGGAGGGAACAGGAGCCAGTGCTGGGGGAAGCTGGCTTAAAAGCCAGTGCCAACTTCCCTCCACTGCCTCTATCAGAGGCAGCAGGGGGCAGATGGGGAGGCTGCTGCTAAGCAGCCCCTGTCTGCAGGGGTGCCAGTAGGGAGCTCCTCCGCCCTGTGGACAGGGACTGCTGCTGCCAAGCAGCCTGTGTTTGCAGTGGCCAGGGTTGGCAATGGGCAGGGGCTGCTCTGATAGCAGCCCCTGCCCACGGCCAGCCCTGGCTGCCATGAAGCAGCCTGTGTTCACGGTGAATAGGGGCTGGTGTACTCAGCGCAAGCCAGGACCAAGCAGTCCTAGTTCGCGCTTGTCCGGGACGCTACGCCTCTGCATTTTAAATGTCGTAAGAGCCTGGCAGCTCTTATGACATTTAAAATGCAGGGCTGCAGTATGGGTGGCTCCTGGAGTTACTCCTGCTGCAGCTCTGCAGAGTGGTCCCATTGACTAATTGTCTAGTCAATACAGATTGTATCCACTATACAGTTAGCTAAGTAACTGCAATTTAACATTAAGCAACATTTTTTCATCTGGAATGGTTACATTGTGGAATTTGTCACAGCAGACTGTTGTTGAGGCCAAGAATGTAGCAAGGTTAAAAAAGGATTGGATATCTGTATGGATATGCTTGTGACACAGAGATGTTGTAGTTCAGTGTTTCTCAACCTTTTTTTCTTTTTAAAATAAAGTAACCCTTTTAAAAAAAAATTATAAATACCCCCAGTACCTACAGTTTTCAGACGCACACAATTTTTTTCTGCCATTGCAACACATTTGTTTAAACAACTTAATCATAGCTGGGCGGGTGATAACATTTTTGGGTGTAAAAAGTACAAAAATAATAAAGCGCTACAAAACTTAAAAATTCAGTTTTCTCCAAATTTCAGTTGTTGACGTACCCCCCAGACTTCTCTCCAGTACCCGAAGGGTACTCGTACCACAGATTGAGAAACAAATGTAGTTCATGTTAACAAAGTTGAGAAGAGCTGTTGAAACCTGATACTTAGGGCTTACGATAATCTGCCTACAGTAGAACCTCAGAGTTACAAATATCTTGGGAATGGAGGTTTTTCATAACTCTGAACAAAATGTCATGGTTCTTTCAGAAGTTTACCACTGAACATTGACTTAATACAGCTTTGAAACTATACAGTAAACTTCTGATAATCCGGCACCTTTAGGACCCAGGAGGTGCTGGATTATCAAATATGACGGACTGTTGGAAGGGAGGGGCTATGAGGGGGTCTAGTGCGCAGTTGGGGGGATGCGCCCCTTGGCGCTGCAGGACCAACCCGGCAGCACCCCAGCTGCTCTGCCCCAGACTTCCCCAAGTCAGCTGCTGCTGAAACTGACCAGTGGCTGAATCGGGGG